AGCGGTGCAGGTAGTAGTGCTAAAACTGTGGAAAATTCTCTTCCGCATCTCCGGTGCCCCCCCCCCCTTCCCAGGGCCTTCCCCCGCTCATCGCACCATCGGCATGCCTACTTTCTCTTCTCCCCACCCCGCTCTCCCCCCCTCATCCTCAGTAGAAACCCCACTCGTAGCCTCTCTCCTCCTCCTAGTCCGAGAGACTGTCCTGGATCTACCTATAGTTGAGCATGGATTTTATTCAAAAAAGCCTAATTGCCCTTTTCCATTTCTCATTCAGGAAGCATTTGCATCATCCAGTGAACAGCAACTGACACATAGCAAAAAATCGCCTGTCTTCGCGCAGCATCACTTCAACAATACGTATAATTGCACTGCTGTTATGAACAAGAAATTTTTAAATCAAACTGAGGCAATGAGGTTTGTTTGCTTTTTTTTTTTAGAAGTTCTCAAATTTCAAAAAAAATTAAGCAATGGATAACTGAAATCGCTACAGCTTCACCATTACTGCACACATATATTCAGAATGCTCTGCAGTGATGTAGCCAACAAATATGCTATTTTCTTCTTTCATTTCATAGTCGTAGGCGGATTTCCACCCAGTTTCGCACCGATTCAGCCGTCTGTGTTTACAGCTTGGGGATGAAACACAAACAGAGTACGAAGTGTGTGTGTAGTTTTTATAGTGAATTGTGTTTCCTGTTGTTCGATCACGTTAAGGTAAGTGTGGCCGTCATCCGTAAAGCCTTCATAATTCGAAAATTTCTAGATTATTTTGCAAAAATTTACTTGAAATATGTTTATTTTAGGCTAAATGATGATGTTTTTGCGTGGGTTCATCGGCACCAGTGCTTGCAGTTCATGCGTATCTTCCGAGTTCCTTTGCATAGTGCATGGGAAACAACTCAAGGTGGTTCATCGAAGAAATTGGTCCTCGGCACGATCCATAACAAAAGGAAAGGGAGCGAAATTCGACAACGAAGGTTTGTAAACCCCAGCCGTGTTCGTTGAAGCTTCATGATTTTTCACACAACTTTAAGAAATGTATACGACTTGATGGACCGAAAAATTTCTTACCATTAAAATAACTCTATTAATTTTACAAATTTTTTTGTAATTCTCGTCTTCTACTTTCCTTTTAATTCTTATTTCATCCGTTGTTAATATACCTCTCTGCTCCTGCTCAAGATATGTTAATTTTGAAGAAATTGAACAGAAAAAGCATCTTAAATAAATTTGTTTTGGTATTTTTTTTTTCGTTTTTTGGTATCGACAATATCCCAAATGACTTTTTTTTAGCACTTTAAAGGTATTGAAAATCAGGGACTAGTTTTAATTCTGTTGTTTTCTTGAGCCGTGAATAAATTTCTCTTGCTATATTGCAACTGTATTTTTGTAGAACAGCTTTTGACAAAATTGAGGATGCACGTATTAAAGCAGCACGTGAACGTGCCTGGCGACATATTGATATGATCAGTGCAAGCCGTGATAATTCAGCCATTAATCCGCAAAGGTACAACTTTTTTCTTTTTTTGTCAACCAATGTATTTTGGGGGAATATTTCAACTTTTTGCTTCGTCATGAAGAGATAGGAGGTCAAAACGGGGATCACCCGGGCAGTCGACTTGAGGTTCAAGTGTGATTAACTAATACTCTCATATCCCATTCGCAGCTTTACCCAATCCCATTGATCCTGAACTTGCATGCTTTTAATTAGTACTATCCATGTGTTCGACATTTGTGCGTCACCTATTCCCAATGATAAGCAATGGCCATCAGAAGGCCGAATCATAAGTGGACGGTCCAAGTGGAGCGACCGAAGTGGGTTAAATCGATAAATAATTCGCGGCCTTTGGTGGGCCGAACCGTAACTTCTGTAGTAGACGGCCCGTCCAAAACGTGGAAAGTATGGAACGACCGTAATCCATGAGTTTTAATGTAGGGTGGGATTAGTGAATAGATTATGATGGAAAAGATAGTAGGGCTGTTAATGTGGTACAAACCGTGTGACATCTGCGGGGCGCAATATGCTGATGTTTGTCTTTTATTTAGTCCATATTACGTGCTATGTTGTATAATGTAGATTTGCGTTTTTACGTGCATAGCTGCTTGACATTTACTGCATTAGTATTTGCTGTTTAGGCCTTCATTAAACTATATTGTCTAAGCTTAGCCAGATAAAATGTCGCGTACTTTTCCTGGCATTTTTGGAGTTTTCATGACTCGTTCCTCGACGGCAAATTACCT